AGGTGGCAACGTTCCACAAAAATTTTTTCGGCCATATTGCAATATGTATTTAATTTAACTCTCTAATTTTTTTCCTTTTACATTTTAAGTTAGACCTCAAGAAATACATCGGACCGTTTTGACAAACACCAAAAATTACACTTATTGACCATTAATATGTTCTATAATCGCTAACAAAATTGATTTTCTTCCATTATGTTTGTAAATAATTAGTACCACGTATTAATGGCCGAAGCTTTGATGTCACATTATCCCGTTAATTTTGTTACGAATCGCTTCTCTCATCGCACCAAATCAAAAATTCATGGCATACTGCAACTGGTGGGTGGCGCAATGGCATTGCTAGGTGCTTTCAGTAAAATCTCGCAGACAGAAGTGCATTTTACCACATGGCATGGCAAAATCGGTAAGTCAAGTTTGTGGCAAGAGGCAGCCAACCATGTTTGGGAGTAAAAACATATTTAAATGCCAGAATTCAAATTACACATTTTCGCAATTTCCAGGTCTTGCCGCTAACTTTATGTGCTTCGCCAGTATTACCGGTGGCATCGTCAACTATTTTCAACCGAAATTCGTACACAAAATTTATAGTCCCGCAGAGGTGAAGTATAGACATAATCTTTTTGGTATGGTCACTTTTACACTCGGCATGCTGACAATCTTCCTCGGCTATCGCACGAAATTCGCTTACAAATATATGGATCCTGAATTTATTGTTGCCATAAGTTTAGCCACTGTTTTAGTTTATACTTTTACAATGATAGCACCATTTCGATCATTTTTAGATAAGCGTAAGTACAGAAGGCGGAGTTGAAAATAATTTTTTAAGATTTGTAAAAGTGCAATTAGTGTAATGTACCTGGGCGTTATTAATAAAAGATGGTAATTTATTTAAAAAAAAATTGATATAAGCTATAATAAATTTAAATCTTTGTATCCGTTCGATAGCTTTGTTAGGGTACTAGAGTACAATTTAATAAGTTCAATTTTTAGGATACAAAATCCAAATTTGAAATTTCAAAAAAATTGCGTTGATTTTTGGGAGTTTTTTTGTTGAAGACGTTTCGCATTTTTTCCATACAAAGTATTTTCGAAATTTTTTTTTTATGGAAAAAAATGCGCGAGAGAAAGTCTTAGTTACTTCAAGCTTGCATTTTTTATACTCAAATTTAATGGGCTACAAAACTGCATTCTCAAAAAAATTTTAAAATCTGATAAAAAAGTTGAAAATTTGCATGGAAATTTATAGAATTTTCCTGAGTGTTTCACAAAGTTTAGAAATAGTATTTTTATATTTTTTGTTGTAGGATTAACCATATTTTTATAAAAAAAAAACATAGCGGAAAAAAATTCAAATTAATGGGTTGTAAAAAATTCCACGGGCAAATGTTTGTAGCCGTGAGTGTACATTAGGGTGGTCCAAAAATGCATGTTAAAAAGTAAAGTCGGAATTTTTATGCTCTCACCCCCTAGGATTGTTCTACACCGAAAAAAATATACCCATATTTGTTATTTTGAAATCAAAAAATATTTAGAGGTCGCTCAAAGTTTTCCATGTATTTTATATGGGAACAAACCACTTTTTGTAGAAATGATATATAATTCTTGGAGAAATGATATATAATATTGGAAGTCTCCTGAAGAGAACCAGAGCTTTCTGATCGAAAAATATTGATTTTCAAGGATTTCATACCATTTCTACGAAAAGTTGTTTTTTCATAAATACAAGGAAAACTTTGAGAGCTTTTTGCGATTGGATGAGTACGACATAGATACATACCGAAAAATTTTATACTAACACAGGTGTGTATGGGGAGACGGCAACAAATACAGTGGATGGAGCACCACGAGTATAATCCGCGGTACGACACCAGTTCGCCGAAAGTATCTTGCAAACACTGCAGGCTGTGGGTCTAACAGTGACGTCTCAGAAAACAGATCCAAGAGTCACAGGAGGAGGACTAAGCCACCCATGTATACCAGGTCAATCAATCGTGCTGAATAACTATATATATATAGAGGCCTTGGTGGTATGATGCCTGGATGAGGTTAAAACTCCTGGCGTGACAACGAATGAAACTTGACTGCCATCCAGTCAACAATAGACTCGCGCCTACTGCAAAGCGGAGAAGCAGAAGGGATGGGAATTTTAAATGGCAGGCTTCAAGAACGGAAAGCATCAGAACTCTGATCCCGAGCGACGCAGTAGCGAATCCGTTGCCCATATTGAGCGAAAAAGCGGGAGAAACATGTATGAGCCAGTCGCTGAGAGGAAGACCCCGTTCGCGCTAAGCAGTGAAACAGAGAGAAACACGATAAGACAATGGACAAAACGGCGAAGATCGTAGAGTTAGGCAGCAGACAGCGCCACGAACATGCGCTAGCCGAAGAGCGGGGAAGAGCAGGGAGCACCTTCCGCCTGCAGTTTATTGGATGACATTTGCGAATTCAGCAAAATTTGCCGCTCGATACCTCAAAAATCCTCTATCGAATTGACATATTGGCTCTGGCATGACTATTCCAAACTTTTGTGAAATAAAACATTTGAAGTTTATCTAATCAGTTTGCAATGCTTGCGTTTTTTCAATCATGAATGAAAACATCAAAATAAATGCTAAATTCTCTACCAGCTTGCATAAAAAATTTGGCTCTGGTCCAAATAATGCTGCCAAACCTCGCTTAAAAACCTTCAAGATAAGAGAGATGGTTGAACTTTTTGTGTAAAAATATGCACATTTTATTATTGACATTTTGTAACTACCAAAGATACATATGTATCTATGTAGTTTCGTTATAAAAAAAAGTTGAGGCATATGTACGTACGTTATTGTATTTCCTTCTAAGTAAGCAGGAAGCGCCTGAATGTAGGCATAGACAATGAACTCTTGTAACGCAGGGCAACTCTTCCGCTTCGCGAGGGCTTGTATGCATATTGAATTTAGAGATAAATTTATGTATTCATATATGCAAAATATATATGTATGGTCTTATACATATGTATGTGTATTAGGGTGGTCCTTAAAGGTAGGAAGCAAATTTTTACATCAGATTTCCTAAAGCTGAGATCCCACGATTGCCACAAATGGACCAATCTGGAACAATTTTTATTGTGCTGTATTGGAGCACAATAAAAAAATTGTCCCAATGAAATTCTGTACAGTCACACGGTTGCCTCTTTTTATACAATTCCCATTGCCGTAAGTTGGGGAAAAGCAATACAGTGACAATAATTCCCCAAACTTATCACACGATTGTTCGAGCATGCGGCAATTGTGACCATAAAGTGTTGCGCTGACCTCTAAATTCTGTTTTTTTTCTCTGTTGTGAAAAAATGGCGTATTCTTAATAAAAAAAAATAAATCAATTGCATCTGCTTTGTATACTGCGGGCTCATTTTGTGCAAATTTGTTGTTGTTTGAAAGCAAAGAAGCAAAAACTTGTGCCCAACGAAAACTCACGCATTTATTTAGAAGTTTGATTCTATAGTTTTTTTTTTATTTTTCGACGATAACTGCAACGTGCTATGTGGAGTTCAAGTTGCAACAGTTTTCTTTTTAATTTTGTTACGTAGAGGTTTTTTTATTCATTACAAGTAAAATTGGTACAAAAGAGTTATGTTTGTTTAAATGAAAGCTGCGAATTTACATAATTTATGTTTGGAATTAAATTTTATAATTATATGTACAGCTCGCAACAAAAGATAGCACCATAACATTTTGATCAGTCTTGACTTTTTTCTTCTGTTGTTTAATGTTAATTTTTTCCTATAAAACCATAGCTCATTGTCTAGTAAAAACCACATAAGTCCAAATTCCAAACTTTATACAAAAATTATAAACATTTCTTAAAATTTTGATCACAATTCAATGGTTTTTAATTTGGGTTTCTAGAAAAAATTTTGTTT